GAAACCTGAATCTTTGCAAACCGTCCTTGTGTTTCTGGTAACAACGATTTTAGCCCTGGGAGAAACTGTGACCTTTGCTCAGTAAAGTTGATTTTCTCCTCTATTTGAGCTCTAAGCTGCTTTTGATTTCTGTATTTTAAATGGTATCTAGTCACTGCCACCTGGTGCCAGGACATGCATGGTATGGAAGAGCTTTCTTTTCTCATCTGATGACGGCTCTTCTGTGCCAAGCATCATATAGGTGTCACTTTCCTCCCTAATTTAAATAGGTTTTTGTATGCGCAGTGAATTCCGGAAGGAAAATGACCATTGATGGGACTGAGGTGGGGAGAGGATCCAGCCACATGCTACAAACAGGTGGGGCTGAGGTTGCTGGATTAGTGGCTGACCCTCCTCCTCTCCTCAGCACTTTAAGAGGTTCACAAGTGTAGTGTGAGACAGGTACCTACGTCCTTTCATAAACCTCATTGACTGCAGATGGGGAGAAATGAAGAAAGTCAGTTTTCCAGAAATTATGCTTCTGCCCAAGGACCCCGACATCTGTAAAGGGAATTAGATAAATTGTAGGCTGGGTAGTGACAGATGAGAATAAGGTCGCTTCCAAGAAGCCTAAATTAGTTAGCTCTTTAATTTGCATGTTACGTAAGGGGGGGGAATCTCCCCCCCCCTCTTGTGTAAGAAGGGGCGTGGGTGGACTGGATGGCCCCTAAGAGGAAAGTAAGGTGCAAGAGGGGCAGCAAGTGAAGTAAAGGGACAAGTTACACAACTTTCATTTAATTGAGGATTGTGTTTCAAATCTGCAGAAAACAGCATGTTGCTCCCCTTGTTCCCTAGACAGAAAGGCACAGTTTTACAATCTCCTTTTATTGTTTTGCTGATAAGCAGGCATTTCACATTTCTGACACTATACAAAACGTCCTTTAGAAAACTCAGTCAGTGCCATGGACTTTTCCAGCTGGAACATTAAAACCAGAGCCTGGCTGGCCAGCTAAGTTTTCACCCCATAACACAGTGTCTCAGCTGTGGCCAGCCAAGGTACTCCAGCTAGGACGGGAAAAAGCCTGCTGCAGGAGCAGTCAGCTTCAACTCCTGCTTCCACCCTTGCCCAAACGGGTAGCAGTGCAAATACAGCGCAAACTTCCCAGCCCTTGGAGCAAGCTGGTTTGGCGGGCACCGGGATGACTTGTTGAGTACATGACTTTGTACAATCGCGCACGACTTTGTATTTCCATTCTGCAAATACTGACTGCTAGCCAAAGTTTAGTCCTGTTCTGCTTATTTTAGAAGACCCCTACTGTGACCCATACTGTTAGAGACTCCTACTATAAACAGCTATAGAGTGAGCGAATCTTCCTTCTTTGGCAAAACTCCCGAAGGGTATTTCTGCGTGGCACAGACCTGCCCGGTACCTCCCAGCGTCCAAGGAAGGGTCAGGGGGTTACCCCTTCCTGGGGAAACCCACCTCCTGGCCTGGCAGTCCCCGCGGCCTGGAATGACCCACCCGGGCCACTGGCAACTGAACGTAAATTTGTTTTTGCGTTACTCGAACAAGCAACAGGAATAGCTTGATTCTGGTCAGTCTCAACATCTGAAAGCAGAGCTATCAGAAATCGCTGAATCAGAGGATATGGATCTCTGACAACAATAATATTTATGAATCCTTACCAAAAATTGCTGAAGATGTTTTTGTTTTTTTCAAAAAAAAAAAAAAAAAAGAATAGCACCTCCAGAAGTCTCTGCGATACGTTTGTGCTTTGTTACTCAAAGGAAACATGCATGCCATTTTTGCCAGCTAACAAAATACTTTCTAACAGGGCATTTTGACAAAGCTGAAAATATCTTGCACCGATGTGAGTCATTTTGGCTTCAAGTGCACATCTTAGAAAAAGGAATCTCAGAAAAAAAATCTCTTTTAAGTAAGTGCTGGCATGAAATACGGTCTTTAAGTGACAGGCCTGGAAAGGCTATGCATATTTGTATTCTATACAGAAACAATAGCTATCTTTCAACCCACACAACTGCTTTGTGTTTTTTCTTTTTTTTTTTTAAACACCAAGAAGCAAAAAAAAAAATCACCTAATTTCTTTCCCAACTTTTCGATACTGATAAAGTTTATTACTTCAGTGGGCTACAATTAGTTTTTATGTGTAGCTAGGTGACCTCTGCTGGTAGATTCTTATCATAACTGCAATAATTCACACATACAGGTACAGATACATTGGTATTCTGGTAAGTGCTGCCCTACATACACAAGAAGATGTAATACACAGGAAGATACAATCCCTGCTCTGAAAAATAAACTCCCACGCTGAAAAGGTGTAAAAAAAAAAGAATTGTATAACCCAGCTTTCTCCACTCACAGATGTTTTATAGGGCAGATTTTAGAGAACCTTTGATAAAAAGGTACAAGCATCTCAGGATGGGGCCACTGGTGTTTATTCAGCATAATGGTCTAAATGCTCACTATTGCTCGGAAAGCCCCTAAGCTTCATCCTGCTAGAAGCAGGGAGGTTGTACGGAGGAAAGGATTAGTCTCCACTTGCATTCCTTTCTTGTACTCCTTCTCATACCATCTGCTAACAGCCATTGTGGGAGAAAGGATACCAGCTAAATGGACCTTTATTCTGACTCAGCACGGTTGTAGACAGTCTGTCCGCTATGATACAGCAGCACAGTATAATTTGATACTTTAAAAAAATAGCCATTCACCTGAGAGATCACAATGCAACTTGCAGTTAACAGTCTTGGTCTTTGTGATATCCAAGGTCATTTCTATTATTACAGCACAGTGCACGGAAATACCACAAATACCAAGAGAGTCTTATCTATTTATCATAGGTGAAATTGGCACGCTTTGCAGCACAACGGCTCCACGCCGGATCACAGGCATCCGAGTTCATTTGAGTTTATATTCAGAGGCTGCCTTTCTCAGTTAGGAGCTCAGTGGATTTCATGCATGTATGTATTTATGATGGCATTGCCACGGCCATTTCTCAAGTGTCTAGCTTCCACACTGACGGCTACTGCGCCTCAGCACACGGCAGCAAATGTAAACGTTCCCTGACCTTGCCAGAGTTAGCGGTAGGAGCCAAAGGCAAAGGCTGGGCACGGGTCTTTCCTCCTCCTGACCACACAGCCCTGGCTTTGCACGCCTGCTGCTGCTCGCGCTGCCCGGACCCTAAAACGTGCGGTGGCACGGCGCCCTGCCCTGCCACGGAAGAAAAGGGGGGGTTATACCCTAACGTTGGGTTGCCCCTGCCCTGCCACGGAAGAAAAGGGGGGGTTATACCCTAACCCCTAACCTCTGCTGCCGAACCCAACCGTTTGAAACACCCCCCCACCCGCCACCCG